CCTTATGGAGCCAGCCTCTAGTGGACGTTAAAGGGCCACTTCAGTGTTGGCTCAGACAATGTTATCAGTGAAGAAGTCTAAGTGACTTCCTGTGTAATTAGAGAGACAGAAGCAGGAAGGCCGAGGGAAGCCTCCTCCGGACGGGACTTTAATGGTTTTGTTGCCGCTGCTTTCAGGAACCACAGACTGCAATCAGTGAATCAGGAACTGAAAACTAAAAGGTTTTAAATTAAAATTGAACTTATTTGAGCTAATTTTCGACATTCAACATTTTGTTTAAACTTCTCTGAACAAAGTTGGACTGAAATTACACCGGACGCACACACTTTACCCACAGCTGTTGTCCCCTGCTGTGTTTCTGGACTACACTTTGTGGTCAAAGTTCATTCTTCTAAACTCACGGTTCGGCTGCTTTTCTCGGCTCCATTACCTCGGGGCTGAAAACCTCCTCCTCCTGATGCGATATGCATACGAATTCTTACATACTGCACCTTGAAGTTTCTTTTGTGACTACAGTTACATTTCCTGTTCTTTTTACTTTTACGTCAGTCTAGTTTTGAGACTGACATCAGCTGAACCAGAATCAGAGGTGGTTATAGTCCTCTGGAGTTCTACCCAGGTTCCCCAGCGTCTGTGTGGTTACGTACCGATCCGGCCACCAGCGCTGAGACGCCTCCAGCCTTCACAGCGGCGACGATGGAGGCGATGAAGATGAGGATGGTGCCGACGGAGTAATGGAAGAACTCCTGAAGGAGAAACCAGAATAGATTCAGTGTGACAGACGCGGGTTTCTTAAAGACACTGAGAGTCGGTTAACAGCTCGTAGTAACGTCTTGTGATCCGACCCCCCCGCTCTATAGAGCTGGACCCTACCCACAATGCTGTCAGTGTCCATTATTACTGTCTACCAGGGATGTCACGAGTACCGATACTTTCAGTACCAATCGATGCCAACATTTTGAAAACCTTGACGACGGGAAGCCGCACACCACGCCACCAACAAAAAGCTAAATAAGAGTATTTTATTAATATAATCCACAAAAAGGTGACGGAAATAAACAGTCAGCAGGAAGCAGTTCATTCAGGTAGCTCAGGTAAAGGATGCACTGAAGCAACAATCATATAGTATTGGCAATCAAATGTTATCGGGACATTTTCAGACTGATATCAACTACAGAATTTCTGGTATCGTGACGTCGGGACTGTCTACTGGCAGGACAGGACGCACACTTTTACTTTGTCGACTGTTTGGAAATCTGATGTTTTCACATCACAGGTGACAAAGAAAGATGAGATGTTCCTTTATTGATCCTCTGTTGGGGAAATTTAAGTTGGCACAGCAGCGCAGGGGAATGTAGTGCAAAGAGTAAAATACATTTAATAAGATAAAACTCAAACAAAATCCAAGTAAATATAATAAACTAGACAATAAAATTAGAATATTATACACCTGTGTCTATATGTACAGTCTGACACTTTAATATCATCACTCCACATTGCAGCATTATATTTATGACAGAAACTGAGGAAGAGCCGAACAGATCCCCTTTAAACGCTGGAATATCAATATCCGTATCGTCCAAATGGTCTGACTTTAAGTCAAAACTCAACTCAGGTCACAGTTGAGTCGCTGAGACGAAACTTTTATTGTCCTATAAAAAGATGAATAAAAACTTCTTCTTTAATATAAACCTAACTAATGAAGTGAAGCAAAAACCTGCAACTCTGTATTTAATACACGCGCTTCCTTCCTTCCTTATTCAACCCTATCGAACATCAAGGAAGTTCTCGTTGTGTAACAGAATCAAACCGTCAGACCTGCTGTACAGAAGTGGAAAAGCAGAAGTGAGACTGTAAAGAGATGAACTTGCTGACACGCTCGTTAAACAGATGTGGAAATGTTTCGTGCTGCTCACCGTCAGCGGCCAGTTGATGCACGGCATCCTTCCCTGCAGCCTGAACAGGTGCATGAGGAAGAAGATGACGAGGGCGATGAGGAACCACATCGTCACCACCTCGAAGTACTGGAAGGCCGCCCAGCTGGGCCAACCCCGAGCGCAGTGGACGCACAGGAAGGCGATGAGGAGGGCGAGCTGGGAGGGAAGCAGTCACAGCGGGACACGTTTAACCATTATTCTCTTATTGTCAGTAAAATAATCAAACAACGTGTTAGCGCTCGTTACTTCCTGTCTGCGGCTCACTGGTTCCCACTGGACACGTAAATCTTAAATATATAGTCTGAGGCTAGTTTTTATCAAACCAACCGGAGGAAACAGAGCATTTGTTGGGGACTATTTTCAGCGGCGGATGAATCCACATT